CAACGAGTTGTTTAACATTAGAAAAATGTTGAAAGATATTTTTCGATTGGTTATTATTATTGATAATAATAATAATTTTATTCTAAAGGAAATTGGAATTGTATTCGAAAAAGATCCAAACTTGAACAATAGTTTTTTAATAGAACCACCATATGATTTTACTTTGCTAAATACAAAATCTCGAAAGACTGCAATTTGGTTAACCAATACACATCACAAAATTTTTGTGGAACGATGGAGAAAATAGCTTTCCACAAACTCGAAAGTATCTAGGGACAATTACAAGCGGAAAACAAATTATTTGTAAAGGTGTGGAAAAGAAACAATTTCTAAAAACGTTTTTTGGGAGTCGTCAGCGTCATTAAACAGGTTTAAAGGAAACCGGTTTCCCTATTGTAAAACACACCTTAAGGGCGGGGTTTGTGCTCTTAACAATGCATACATTATTAAACCAAAAAAAACAATAAAATAATTTGTATACATTATTTTAAAGTTGAGACTAGATGTGTAAAGATGTGCAAGAAAACAAAAGTAACCAAATGAAGTTTCATGAGGAAATTGACCAATTTATTGAACATTTTAAAGGAGAAATAATTGGTCAGCATTTTCAATACCTTCTAAACACAAAAACTATGTTCATGAATCGAGGTGGACATGACCTCAAAACTACGAAATATGGTGACCACTTTACATTTTGTAATCGAGAAATGACGTCGGAAACGTGCGCCTGCTTCTTTTATGCAAATCGCCGAAATCAAAGCAGAAAATTAATTTCTAAATATAACAAAACAAGTTCGCAATACGAAAATAAATGAATAAATGTATTATTATGCCATAAAATAAACTTCTGACATTTTATTTCGAGTTAAAATTACAGGTACGGCGAATATAAAATATTTCCTTGACTGAGATATGTATGCTACTTGCGAGTTGTTGCGGCGGTCGTGATTTCAACCCCTATTACGGGAACGTATTAGAGCTAGCAGTCAGCCGTGAGGTCGTTGGCGTGAGGCCCATGATCTTGTCTTGAATCCTTTTTATGATATGTTTATGACCCGTTTGTAGAAAGGAGAGATTTTTTATCAGTTAAACATTCTGGGGCAAAAAAAAAATCTCTGTTTGAAAATGTTGGGGGGAAATTTAGTATACTCTTTATGGATATGATCGTGACATTTTTATGACATCTAAGCATTTTAAAATCAGATAATTTATGGATTATGGTAATTGTCCCAGAACGCGCATACATTAATGAAGAGGCGGGGGCCATTAATATGTTAAGTAGTGAGAGGCGGAGGTCATTAATATGCTAATTATTAAGGGGGCGGGGGCCATTAATATGTTAATTGTCCCAGAATCCGCGTTTCCATACTACTTCTGGGCTTACGTGTTGGATCGGTAAGGCATCCGGGGAAGGGGCATCAAGGAAGGCAAGAGTTTCTTCAACATCCTCGCGGCTCGCGAGTTTAAATGGCTGGAAGCGTTTTTCAAGTTCGTCCGCAAAAGCTAAAGAAATTTCTGAGTCCGACCTGCACCATGTGTCATCAGATTTCTTTATGGGGATCTTTCGTAGGGGCTGTCTGCATTTCCAGAAATTAAACCCGTAAGGTTTGGTGGGGTCAGCATTCGGAGCATCTCATCAAAGTATTTCCGTTTGGTTTCATAAAGAAGCTTTTTAGGATCAACCTCCGCTTGTCGATATGCACTTTTGTCGACAGGATCTTGAGATCTCATATATCTGCGACGTAGGGAGCGTTTCAGCTTTACCAAGTCTATAATCTCAGGTATCAAAGGAGCCTGAGGTGGACTGGAGAGATTTGAGCTTGAGGTTGAGGACTCGGCAGCGATATTGTTGTTCCGGACAAATAGCTCGACGGCGTCGTTGATGGCGTCAGGAGAGCGTAACACCATATTTAGGTTCACAAGCCGGTTGACTGCTTCTTGAAAGCGTGGGAGGATCGCATTCCGAGGAAGGATGCAAGGCCTTCGAGAAGTTTTTTGCTCAGCGACTCTTAGTTTCACTATCAATGGGATGTGATCAGAGCTTAGTTCAAGACTTTCTAAGGTGGAGAGGCTCTCGGGCCGAATCCCTCTGTAGACAGCAAAGTCAATGGCGGTTGGCGTTCTTTGACTGTACGGATAGTGTGTAGGCCCTCCGGTTGCAAGGACCTGGACATTTGATCTTTGAATATAGTCTGCTAGTGCTCTTCCGCGGGTGCTTGAGTTACGGGATCCCCAGAGACGGTGGTGAGCATTACAGTCTCCTGCGATTATGAAATTGGTTCCCAGATCGTCGAAGAGTTTTTCAAAGTCGTCAGCAGTACATTGAAAGTTTGGTGGACAATAGATAGACGCAAAAGCTGTTTCACCAAGGTCTGTTTTAACTTTGACGGCGACTCATTGAACATTTGGGCTTTGTAGACTATAGAACTGGTAACATTGAAGACAGGATTTTATTAAAATTGCAGAACCACCGCGTTTCCGATCAGCCGGATGGGCTCGAGCAGAAGTGTGTTTCACTACCAATGTTGAGGACGATTTGACTCATGGTTGTGCAACATTGACTGGGAGAAACTCAGCGAATGCTTGAGCAGTTGCAGGAGAATTTTGAGGCAAAAGTTTTGAGACAATCATAGACACCATCATTTGGAACACCTTGTCCATCTGAGCGACAAGGACCGACAGATTTTGGTTAGATTGCATAAACATTTGCTCTTGAAGCTGCGTCGCAGTTGTTGGGGGAAAGACTGCTGCTGGTGACTTGGCTGTTGTTGCTGTTGTTGAGGCCTTTGTTGTTGCTGTGATAGCTGCTGCTGCTGCCGAGGTGGTACTACTTGATGGTGTAGCTGACTTTGCTTTCTATTGTTGCTGCCCAGTGGAGGAAACTGTTGATTCTGTGGGAAAGTCATAGGAGCTTGTTGGTGCTGGGGACGACTAACTTGACCACGGACGGCGTTTGCGTAGGAGTTCTGACCCAAAAAATTTGACCGAACATTCGAATTAGTTGACAACAGTTAAGGAACAGTGCTACGATGGGATGTGATACTTTTTCGTCGTTATGCAACTTGCTGATAGACGGCAGAAGGACATGGCTAGATCGACTCGTTTAGTCATGCTGATCAAGAATATCTATACTTTATGGGGTCGGAAACGTCTCCTTCACTGCGTTGCAAACTTCTGATTGAAATCATAATACCCTCTGCAAGGGTATAACAAATGCGTTTTGCTGCGCACAATTCAAATAGTCTGCTTCTCTTTTAATAACTCAAACAGAATGCACCAGGTCTTAACTTCATTTCTTTTGTTTTTCCTTCGCTGTTGGCGAGTGCCACTGCACTTATACCCTTTCTAAAGCGAAAAATATCCGACTATATAATATTTATTCCTTGAGTAAAAAATACAATATGAATTTTTTTAAAATGTAAATATTAAAATGTTTTAAATATTTAAATAAATTTGAACGGACTAATTTCCATAACTGAACTAAAAAATTATATTGTAATAATAATGTATAATATGTAAACATAATAGTATATGGAAATTAAATTACTTGATTTTACTATGATCAAAAATGTACTTTTATGAAACATTCGTTTTTTTTAAATACAATAGTGCTCGGAGCACGGATTATAAGACAAAGAGAGAGAAGTCTCCGAATATCTGCCTCTCCTTGTTGCACGACCGTTTTCGCCGGCAGTCCTCTACGCTGCGCCGACTTTTCTGCTAGCGCCAATAGCGGCACAGAGTTTTAGGCACAAAAAAAACAAAATAGCTTTTTGCCGTCTGACATGTCACTCCAAGCCTACTGAAGGATGATAGTAAAAACAAAGTCTCGCTTAAATTTTTACAACATATTGTTAGAGTTAAAGTCGTGTGTGGGCGCTAGAATGGACGTGGCAGCAACATTCTAGCAGCAACATTCTAGTTTCCGAGATCTCAGCGCTCATACAGACATGGCTGTATCGACTCGGCTAGTGGTCCTGATCAAGAATATATATATTTTTTGGGGTCGGAATCGCCGATGTTTTGGAAATCCGGAATAACGTCGATGCATCAATGTTTCCATTGATGTTTCTGCACCTCTATTAAGTAGACAGGACAAGTTCCGGAGGTCCTGCACTCCACTCTTGGTTAGATCGCTTCCATAGTCCGCGTCCTCAGCCTGATGTCTATTGAGTCAACCGGGGTCGTGCGTAGGATTCCCGTCAAGCAGACTTCTGCCATACGCCGCACCTAACTTAGCTGGTTTAAACATCCGTTGATGTGATGATGGACTTTGCCGTCCACCAGATCTATATACTCTAATGCAATGTTTGGACTTATAACCGCAGTGTACAGCCTTGTCAGTATCGTTGGTAACATGCTCCAGCTGATCCTTATGGCTTCTCGGCAGGTGTAGAGTACGGTTATTGCCTTCCGCACCCTGTCGGCGACGATAAACTTCCAAACTAACTTCCTATCTAAAATTAGGCCAACGTATTTAGCCTTGTGGCTTAGTCTTAGTTTAACCGCAAAGAGACAGAAAATTTAGTTTAGGGATTTTAGAGTTCCCAGTGAAGGTGATCAATTCCATTTTGGAAGGGTCTAAGCCCAGTCCGTTTTTTGCCTGTCCAGTCTTATAATTATCTTAGGCGGTCTTTCGTTCACAGAGAGTCTGTGGAAACTTGCCTGTGAAAGAAACTGAAACATCATCTGCGGAGGGATTAAGTGACAGACAGTGACAGATATTTCGTTTCCACAGGAGTGGCGTACTGCGTGTCGGAAAATGCGGATGGTGAGATGATATGAAGATTTAGTAGTATATCCAAAGTTTTTAATACATACAATGACATCGGTTGAAATCTTTGGTGGTGCAGTAGATGGGCTTTTTCGCTTTCGAGGATAAGCACCTTGCTGATAAATACATGTACGGGAAAGCGCCGGTATCGAAGTCAACTTTAACAATTCTGGCGATTGCAGTTTATCCAGAACTGGACCCCGGATTTCAATTGTTTTAAGCTCTTTATAGCATTTAGCATTTAGACGCGCTTGGGGACTGTGTCCGCTATGACACGGTGACAACCTGGGAAGTGGACGTAAAAAAGGACTTTTAGCGACTCCTCGCTAGAGGTATTCCATAAATTGTCAGAGCGCTGATGTATCTTAAAGTAGATAGGAAAATATTAAAGGAAAATATCTTGAACGTTATTATGAATTTCATTTTACCTTGGTTGACTGAAATGTAGTTAACGAACTGACAAATACTAAGTCCACAAAGTCATACCCGATCTGGGAACTTAAACAATGCTACAGATGAGGAAAATTATGAATATGTAAGCAGCTAGGATAAGGTGAATGGATATGGAGAAAAAAGTCGGGGAGCGACCGCGGTTTTATTCGTTGGGTGACAGAACTATAACTAACTTAAGCCTACGTAAGCTATGTGCTCCAGTGCGCAGTGCAGACTGTATGGCGGGGAGATGGGAAAAGAGCGGAAGAGCAGTGCAATGGGAGACCGGTGCAGCGACAAAGTCGCTGTACAAGGGGGATGAACAATCCGCCCCACTTGCAATCTATAGCGTCGCAAAAAAAGGAGAGAGACCCGGCCAGTCGTCTATGCCTTAAGATGGATAGGATCCACCCGAACACCGTCTTTTGGGCCACTGGCAGTCCCTCCTCGACCATGACGAAGCCCGTCTAAATGACCTTCAAGTAGAGGTCAGCGGATGCTAGCCGTTGGAACCGATCATCCGCGAGCGGTAGATCCCGTAATTTTTCGACCGTAATTTTCTCACTGATTGTTCGGATGGAAGTATGGATACGTACGTTCGGCTCGATTTTGTAGACCACCTCCAGCTTGATCGCCTTGTCGGCGACGACCACACGCAGCGTGGTTCCAGTTGCACGTTTTGCACCGGTCACGGCTACGGCAGTTTCCTTGGGAATGCTCGTGGGCGAGGCTGTTTGCACAATACTTATTGATCAGCACTGCACACAGCCGCTTCTCTGCGCTCAGCTCTAGAAACCTCGGACACTTGCGAAGATGATGGATTCCACGGCAGACCTCGAGTACAACTGCTATCCAATGCCTTTGCGCTATGTGGACGGAAAGCCATTTTCTTGGTCAGATTGTGGATAATGAAAAAACGTAAGGAAAGGAAGGAAGGCTCTCCTGGAAGAACCACTTTGGTGACTGGACCTCATTCGTGGGCAGATTGTCGTCCTTTATGTCGACCATGTGGAAAATTGCCACTTGTTGCACTTGTGGAAGTCTTTAAGGTACTCATCCTTCCATCGAGCGCCAAATTAATGATGGAAAGCCTTAAAGTGTTGCTTCCGGCTTATAATTTATATTCTCCATTTTCTTTGAGTTCCACTATGGACAGAAGAGGTTCGTCGACCGAACATTTCACTCTTGCGGTGACATTTTTAATATCAAAAGGCTTGGCGTAGTTCATTCCTGTGTATGCTCCACCTTTGGCACAGTTCAATCGGAAGCTTATCGTCCCAACATAGATCCTGAAGCCAAATCTCTGACATAAATAGAGCGAAATAGCCTGCTGGGTTAAACAACTTGGCAGTTGCTAAATTTGGTGGGACGAGGAAAAATTCATCGGACGTCGCTTTCCAAAGTATCCAAGAGCCTTGGAAGTACTCTTTTAGTGTCGATTTCGAGGAAGACTGTGTTTAGCAAAACAGCACGGCAGTCGCCAACTGTTGCAGAACTCGAATCACCAGGAATGACGGCCAATTGACTCCAAAAGTTACCGATTGTAATTCAAAATATCGAATGCACCTCTCGCTGTTGCGGAATAAGATGCGAGGAACGGGGTGCGGTTCGTATCTACCCAGATCTATCGATACATCTTCTCTAATATCGCCACTTCATGGTCTAAATGGTTAGATCAGACTGAAAGACTGGACCAGCATGTAGGATATCATTTGGGCTGACCCCATTCTCTGAAAAGCTGGAGGAATTGAATACCACACGAAGCAAGCTTCGTCGTACTTTTCGGCTTGAGCACGGCATGAAGCGAAAGGTAATAGCTGGCATAATCCTGGTTAGAAAGGACCTCTTTCATGTCGTTGGGACCGAGATACTTTTGAATCACGGTCATATTTGGTTTTCTGCTGACTGTCCCTTTTTAGGCGTTGCCCGGTTCCTCCACCTAAAACAATTTTGTAAGAAGTTTGTCCAGGGAAGTGTCAAACGCGTGGAATATTCTCGTGGAAAAGACGGAAATCTGATTTTGCTTTGAAGCAGGTACTGGTCCTGTTAGGATCCATCCGAAAATGGTTTCTTGAACGCGGAGAGAGCCACAGATGTTTGGTCGGGTAAATCGGCTCCGATCAGAATATCTATTTGTGCTCTCTCGTAAAACCTTGTATCCGAAAGTTCGGGAAGATCCCGTAGAAACTGTTTCTGAATCGGACGGGATGGAAGTTTTCCAGCTAATTGCGTAAGAACATAGGCAGTCGTATTTAACTGCATGCTGGGCTTGTTCGGAAAACGAATGGTAAACTGACAGAGCTTTTTGGATTCGGCGGATAGTCTGGTTTAGGTGTGATACTTGGGCTTGGATATCTTGCTGAGGCAACTCAATTGGTTTGAAAAGCCTCTTAGAGATAAAGGTTGCCTCAGATCCTGAAAATACTATGGCGCGGGCTCTAAAATGCGAGCCCAGGTGACAGATATCAATTATGGCGGTAGGCAGAAAGAAGGATCTCTACCGCGTCGCAAAGTAATTTTGGACCGTGGAATCCGTGGAAACGGTAGCGGTGGCAACGGGAGTATTTGGTCTTGATCTGGGTCTCGGAGAAGGATTTGAAGGCGCTGGGAAGGAGCTGCCTCCTTGTCGTAGGGTGTTATGGCGGCACGAAAAGCAACTATGAGTGCTTTCGTAATCACGCAGCTGATGCCCTCGTGCGAAGCAGTTTAGACACAGCTGCTTTTTCTTTATATATGCCGACCAACGTCTATTGTCGTCTGGAGAAATCGTATACATGTGCGGACAAGATTGTTTTCCTTCTAGGTGATACCCTAGTCACGCTGCACTGGAGGCGGATGTTTTCGGCTGAGATTGACTCGAACCTAACGTTCGTAGGTCATCTATGGCGTCTATGGTCCGGCTCCGTAAGGTACGCGTTGAGCTCCTGCCCCGTCGGAATCTTCGCCTTGTTGTGCAGAGACTGTTCCCACAAGGATAGAGTGGGCTTAGGGACTTACACCAAGAGGCAATCCCAATTTTCGGTTTGTATTCCGGACATTTCTAACGCCGTGAGGCCACCCTGGTTGGTGCTTTGAAGTTCACTATGAAATTTTTGTTTATACAAACTCCAGGAACACACCAGCCAGATTTTCCAAATAGTAAAAACACTTCATTTAATTTTGTCATTTTAAACAACCAAAACCAACAAACAAAGCGTTCTTAGGAAAAGAGGGAGAGAACAAAGAGAAAAGAGAGCTTTGCCTCTCTCTGAGATCTTCATTGTTCATCCCCTTCCCACACACACACAATGTGTATTCTTCTTTATTGTTCTTTATTCTTTACTAGGACATTGTGACTTTTGATATTCTCAACAAGCCACCTCAAAAGTTACACTGATACAAATTAAGGAATAACAAAAAATAATTTTCAGACGAGTGAATCTAGCTGTTGGTAGTGACTGTGTTAAAATATCAGCCAATTGGAAATCTGTGGAAATATACTTCAATTTCTTCCCTGGTAAAATGATATTTAAAATGTATGTGCTTAGTTCTCTTATGGCAAGTGGGATTATTGGCTATACTAATACAACCTTGGTTGTCTTCAAAAATATATATTGGGCCATTTAATTTAATTTTTATTTTATTTAGTAATGAGTTTAGCCACAATGCTTCAGAAACACCTTCAAATAAGACCATATATTCATTTTTGGTAGATTAAGAAGCAACTTATTAATTTTGTTTCATAGTATTCCAGAAAATTGAACAATTTCCAAACATTTTAAATATATACCCTGTAGTACTTCTTCTATCAGCCTCATTTGCAGCCCAATCAGAATCGACATACCCTATAAGAATAAGATTCCTTTTGAACGATAGCTTCAGGTCAACAGTTCTCTTTAGGTGTCTTAAAAATCATCTGCGGAGGGATTAAGTGACAGACAGTGACAGATATTTCGTTTCCACAGGAGTGGCGTACTGCGTGTCGGAAAATGCGGATGGTGAGATGATATGAAGATTTAGTAGTATATCCAAAGTTTTTGATATAAACAATGACATCGGTATGAAATCTTTGGTGGTGCAGTAGGAGGGTTTTTTCGCTTTCGAGGATAAGCACCTTGCTGATAAATACCTGTACGGGAAAGCGCCGGTATCGAAGTCAACTTTAAAAATTCTGGCGAATGAAGTTTATCCAGAACTGGACCCCGGATTTCAATTGTTTTAAGCTCTTTATAGCATTTAGCATTTAGACGCGCTAGCGACTCCTCGCTAGAGGTATTCCATAAATTGTCAGAGCGCTGATGTATCTTAAAGTAGATAGGAAAATATTAAAGGAAAATATCTTGAACGATATTATGAATTTCATTTTACCTTGGTTGACTGAAATGTAGTTAACGAACTGACGAATACTAAGTCCACAAAGTCATACCCGATCTGGAAACTAAAACAATGCTACAGATGAGGAAAATTATGAATATGTAAGCAGCAAAGATAAGGTGAATGGATATGGAGAAAAAAGACGGGGAGCGACCGCGGTTTTATTCGTTGGGTGACAGAACTATAACTAACTTAAGCCTACGTAAGCTATGTGCTCCAGTGCGCAGTGCAGACTGTATGGCGGGGAGATGGGAAAAGAGCGGAAGAGCAGTGCAATGGGAGACCGGTGCAGCGACAAAGTCGCTGTACAAGGGGCATGAACAATCCGCCCCACTTGCAATCTATAGCGTCGCAAAAAAAGGAGGGAGACCCGGCCAGTCGTCTATGCCTTAAGATGGATAGGATCCACCCGAACACCGTCTTTTGGGCCACTGGCAGTCCCTCCTCAACCATGACGAAGCCCGTCTAAATGACCTACGGGTAGAGGTCAGCGGATGCTAGCCGTTGGAACCGATCATCCGCGAGCGGTAGATCCCGTAATTTTTCGACCGTAATTTTCTCACTGATTGTTCGGATGGAAGTACGGATACGTACGTTCGGCTCGATTTTGTAGACCACCTCCAGCTTGATCGCCTTGTCGGCGACGACCACACGGAGAGTGTGGTGGTTCCAGTTGCACGTTTCGCACCGGTCACGGCTACGGCAGTTTCCTTGGGAATGCTCGTGGGCGAGGCTGTTTGCACAATACTTATTGATCAGCACTGCACACAGCCGCTTCTCTGCGCTCAGCTCTAGGAACCTCGGACACTTGCGAAGATAATGGATTCCACGGCAGACCTCGAGTACAACTGCTATCCAATGCCTTTGCGCTATGTGGACGGGAAGCCATTTTCTTGGTCAGATTGTGGATAATGAAAAAACGTAAGGAAAGGAAGGAAGGCTCTCCTGGAAGAACCACTTTGGTGACTGGACCTCATTCGAGGGCAGATTGTCGTCCTTTATGTCGACCATGTGGAAAATTGCCACTTGTTCCACTTGTGGAAGTCTTTAAAGTACTCATCCTTCCATCGAGCGCCAAATTAATAATGGAAAGCCTTAAAGTGTTGCTTCCGGCTTACAATTTATATTCTCCATTTTCTTTGAGTTCCACTATGGACAGAAGAGGTTCGTCGACCGAACATTTCACTCTTGCGGTGACATTTTTTATATCAAAAGGCTTGGCGTAGTTCATTCCTGTGTATGCTCCACCTTTGGCACAGTTCAATCGGAAGCTTATCGTCCCAACATAGATCCTGAAGCCAAATCTCTGACATAAATAGAGCGAAATAGCCTGCTGGGTTAAACAACTTGGCAGTTGCTAAATTTGGTGGGACGAGGAAAAATTCATCGGACGTCGCTTTCCAAAGTATCCAAGAGCCTTGGAAGTACTCTTTTAGTGAAGCCAAATCTCTGACATAAATAGAGCGAAATAGCCTGCTGGGTTAAACAACTTGGCAGTTGCTAAATTTGGTGGGACGAGGAAAAATTCATCGGACGTCGCTTTCCAAAGTATCCAAGAGCCGTGGAAGTACTTTTTTAGTGTCGATTTCGAGGAAGACTGTGTTCAGCAAAACAGCACGGCAGTCGCCAACTGTTGCAGAACTCGAATCACCAGGAATGATGGTCAATTGACTCCAAAAGATACCGATTGTAATTCAAAATATCGAATGCACCTCTCGCTGTTGCGGAATAAGATGCGAAGAACGGGGTGCGGTTCGTATCTACCCAGATCTATCGATACATCTTCTCTAATATCGCCACTTCATGGTCTAAATGGTTAGATCAGACTGAAAGACTGGGCCATTCTCTGAAGAGCTGGAGGAATTGAATACCATACGAAGCAAGCTTCGTCGTAATTTTCGGGAAGATGCGAAAGGTAATAGCTGGCAGAATCCTGGGTAGAAAGTACCTCTTTCATGTCGTTGGGACCGAGATACTTTTGAATCACGGTCATATTTGGTTTTCTGCTGACTGTCTCGGTTCTGAGGAAATGCGACAACGTGAAGAATCTGGAGAGCGCTATCGTCTCTCGTGGTAGGCCGCAGAAAATGTTCCTCACAAGTCAAATCGTATGCTTTTGCCACTTCTCCGGTTCATCCACCTCAGAAAATTTTGTAAGAAGTTTGTCCAGGGAAGTGTCAAATGCGTGGAATATTCTCGTGGAAAAGACGGAAATCTGATTTTGCCTTGAAGCAGATACTGGTCCTGTTAGGATCCATCCAAAAATGGTTTCTTGAACGAGGAGAGAGCCACAGATGTTTGGTCGGGTACCGCTTAAAAGAATGGATGGCAGTAAATCGGCCCCGATCAGAATATCTATCTTGCGGAGGCAACTCAATTTGAAAAGCCTCTTAGAGATAAATGTTTCCTCAGATCCTGAAAATACCATGGCGCGGGCTCTAAAATGCGAGCCTGCCACGTCGGAATCTCCGCCTTGTTGTGCAGAGATTGTTTCCACCAAGAGGCAATCAAAATTTTCGGTTTGTATTCCGGACATTTCTAACGCCGTGAGGCCACCCTGGTTGGTGCTTTGAAGTTCACTATGACATTTATGTTTATGTAGGATTTGAATCCGGCGGGCTTATTACACGGCACACTCGAAGCGGGTTAAGTTATATGGAAACTCTTAATCAGTTTGCAATCTAAAATCCTCGATAAAGTACTCGATTCTTTTAATGCCGCCGATACCTACACGAGTGAGCGGAGAGTCGTCGTTTAGCGTTCGTAAAGACAAGAATACAATTCATGTAACAAACAGAACTCTGTAAAATTTAATCTAAGCACTTCTATGTTTAAACTTTATCCCAATAAAACATTATGAATCTAACGATTCCCACAATTTGGGGGCTCATCCGGGATTGACCCAAACATTAGAGTGCAGAAGTGCGTTTTAACAAACACAACTACAATGATTGCCAAATTTCAAGTCTGGTAAAATGACAATTTGAGACAACTGCGCAGGTAATTTGGCAGTGTGTCCAAAAGACGACGACAAAACCCAGAATTCGGCAGATGTGTGTGTGAAAACGCGCAAGGGATACGCTTGGAGCCAATAGCGACTACAGTCCAGGAGGTAGTGCATCATAGATCCCCAGAGCGTCGGTCTGAGATCCGGCCAGTCACGGTGAACTGGTAACTTGCAGAGGCTGATCTGTGGAAGGCGATGGGAGCAGCGATAGACAGAGGCGAGCGGAACAAGTCAGAAGCGTTAAGCGGGCATTGGAGCAAAGGCGGGTTGACTGAATCTGGAGGGCAAGATTTCCAAGAAGAGCAGCACTGAGTTTGGAGTAGCAGATCTTGGTGGAAGGCAACGACGTAAGCGAACAAGCAACGGCAAGAACTTTTCAAGTTGAATAGTCCAGAAGAAAATCCAATTGGCAGGCAAGCAGTCTTGAGAAGCAGTGCATCGAAAGGGGTGGTAATCAGAAAGCTGACCCAATTAAATTGAAAGTCGGTCACAAGCAGTAAAAGTAGACTGTATGTATAAAACCAAAATTTGTCATTAACTGAAAAGTTATTCATATAATCTATAGGCAGCGCCTATAAGCCGTTCTTTGTTTACACTTAAAGATGTAGAAGAAGATGTTTCAAATTTTGCAGGTACAGGTAGTCCAGATATAGATCAGTGGATCCAGGAGTTGGAGGAATGTGCCTTGACTGTGCAGTGGAGTCAGCTCCAACTATTCATTTATTCTAAGCAGTTGCTCAGTGGGGCTGCAAAATCGTTCATTCGCAGTCAGGTTACCATTCGCAACTGGGATTCTCTAAAGGCAGCATTACGTGGCGAATTTGCTGTTAAAATATCATCTGCTGAGGTTCATCGCAAGCTAAGTCAACGTGCACAGAGAAAAGGAGAGACACTTCAGGAATATTTGTATGCTTTGATGGAAATAGCCAAGCCAGTTAACCTAGACGAAGAGAGTTTGATAGAGTATTTTATGAAGGGAGTTCCAGATGCTAAGGCAAACAAAATAATGTTGTATCAGGCGAAAACCATAAGGGATTTGAAGGAGCAGATTGAAGTATACAACAAAGTTCGCGGCTCACACAAAATGCCCTACAAAAATGAAGCGCGTGTAGCTGAGGCAGAAGGATCCAAAAGCTTCGACTCAAAACACGAGTTTGTACGTAAATGCTTTAAGTGCGGGGATCCGACCCATTTAAAGAAAGATTGCAAGAAGAAGGATAACAATAATTGTTATCGGTGCGGACAGCCAGGTCATCGTGCTGCACAGTGCAAAGTCGAGGTTAAGGTAAAACAGGAGAGCAATGCTAATGCCGTTCACGTGGAGAACGCAGCCACTAAGCCAAAAAGCGAGTTTACGGCTTCCGGTCTTGAACTAAAACTTATCAAATCTTCCTACGCTCAATTCAAAGGACTCCTTGACACAGGCGCAGATCTATGCCTAATGCGCAGGAACATTTTCCTCAAGCTGGGCAACGAAACTCTTACCGGAAAAGAATAGGACATGAAAGTTACAAAAGAAGGCACTGAGTTTATGCGACGGAATGAATCCAAAAGTAACGAAGATTAACATATCAATTTCGGTTCAGAGTTTCTGCAAGACTTTAAGGGCATGTGTGCAGAACAGGCATCAGTTTCGGATCACGTTGATTTATCCCATTTAAATCAGTCACAGCAGTCTGCGGCCAAAAGTATGATTGAAGAGTATGCACCCGAGCGCAACGCAAATGCTCCGGTACAAATGAAAATCATTTTGAAGGATGAAATACCTGTCTATCAGCATCCACGTCGTTTACCTGTCTGTGACCAGAAAACAGTTGACGATCAGGTTCAGGACTGGCTTGCAGAGAAAATCATCCAACCAAGTACCTCAGAATACGCATCGCTGGTAGTTTTGGTGTCCAAGAAAAACGGAAAGAAGAGACT